AACCGTCCTATCTCATTCTATAAGGGGGAAAGTCTTCTCAAAGTATACTTCCTTGGAACGCCTGTAACTTTTCCTGTAGCGACGATAGACCCTTACTTGTCCGGACAAAGTTATACTATTTTGAGTGCTCTACAAAAAAGTCACCGGCTGGTCGGCTGGGGTTCGGTCCTCCTCTTGGGTCTTGGGCAAAATTTCTTAGGGGCTAGAAGGGGCGCAGCCCCTGGAAGCCCCACTACCTTTTTTTTTTTTTTTTTTTTTCATTGTACAAGGTTATAGATTAAAAAAAGAGAAAATCAAAATTCTGATTGTGTATAATGTTTCAAATCATAATATATTGTGTTAGATAATTATGTTCAGAAGAAATATGAGGAAATTCAATATATATTTGAAACTATTTATTAAAATTTAAAATTAATTTTTTTTCATTTATTGTTTCCAAATGACGGAAACAACAGATCTCTTTGACATCGGGACATCAAATGCATGGGAGCCACAGTGGACTGAAACAGTGACGTCTTGGTCCTGATCATTAAGTAAAACAGCGCCAATGAATCCGTTTGTGTTAATAGCTGATGTAGCATAGACATTTGAGCTTCCTGAGACTGTTGTTCCAAGTCTGATGGAGTCTGGCTTAATAACTTTGGAAAGATGTGCCATATCATAGTAATGAGACCTGTAAATGAGCTCTGAGTAACCAGGAACTTTAACATCAACTGCTCCATAGGAATTGGAGCATCCATTTGGACGATATGGTCCATGGTTTGTATCAAGAAGCAAATTCCACATGATTGCGCATTTGCTGCCTTTATTAAGGGTTCCAATACCGATTTCACGTGTATTCCACATCAAGTCGCCCTGGAAATTGTAATTCATTCGCCAATTGCTATTTCTGTGAAATATAAATTCTTATTAGGATATTTGCTAGTAACATAGTCCATTTCTGTGTTGGAACCACCATAAGCATGATAAGCAGCACCATCAATGTATTTATTAGCCTCGGCGTCATCGTAAATGTGAACTGGATAATGTTCTTGAGTAACAATGTTATCGTAGTTATAATTATGGTCGTAAATAATGATCTTTGTCGAAATGTTGTTTGCAGCGAACTGTGGACCAAGAGCTGTCTTAATAAAATCTCTTTGTTGCTCGTAGCCCATGAAACAAGAAGCGGAGTTGCCTTTATTAAGTGGCTCATTTTGTAATGTGATGGCGTAGATGTGAAAATTGTATTTGGCCATTGCTTGGACGTATTTGACAAAATAAGTAGCATATTCTTGGTAAAGTCTTGGATCAAGGTAACCAGAAATGAAGGAATTATGTCTTCTAAGGGTGGACAGGTCTGAAACCTTCATCCAAATAGGAGGAGTCCAAGGAGTTGCAATAATTTTAACAGAAGGGTTAATCTTGAGAATTTGCTGTATAATTGGGATGATAATGTCTGTATCTTCGGAATCAAGAGCGAAATTGTCAATTCCTTCTTTATCACATTCTGTGAAATCTTTGAGAGAAAAGTCTGAGCACCGATAGAAATACGAATGAAAGAATAGCCCATACCTGTGTCTGGATCGAATGTATCTTTAAGGAACTTGTCTCTTGCTTCTTGAGTCATTTGTTTTAAGTTATATGCTGTGGAACCTGTAATAGCAGCTCCAAATCCATCGATCGTTTGGAACTTTGAATCAGGATTGATGACAACTGTTGGATTATTGCCAGAAACTTTATTAAATGAAATTACAGATGGTTCGAAAAGTTTGCTTTGATCGCCTGTTGTTGTATATGCATACACATTATCTGCATTTGGTAATCCACGAAATCCTTCCCTATGAGGACCTAGATTTGACATACACTAGATTTTTTTGGTTGGATCGATATCACATCACCTGACTGGATTCAAATATTTGACTAGGGTCTCTGAGGTGAGATGATGCATTCAATTTTCACTTCCCTTCTAACTCAACTAGGATATCGTTCAAAAGGAGTTATCAGAATTTTTTGACACATCCAGAAAATATATCAAAGATTAATATTTTGTTGCATGCTAAGTTCGGTCAACGATAGGAATTGAGGGGAAATTAATCGTCGAGGAAGTACGATTATGTAAAGTAAAAAATGTTGTGGGATTTTTAATATTGTATATAATTTTATAATAAAATTTTTGTGAGACATTTTAAGAAGCACATATAATTTTTTGAATTTAAAAATTAAAGTAGTGTTGAATGAATTTAGTGATTAATTTAATACGGATATTTCTCAAAATTAATCAAAAATAGGTTTTCAGAGAACTTTTGAGATATCTTTTCAAAATGTCTTTTTGAAAATATATAAGTATTATATCAAATTGAAAAAAGGTATTTATCAAAATTCTAAATTCTTAATAAAAAAACTTTTCAGAGGATTGTGATTTTGAAAGCATGAGTAATAAGTAAAAATATCTACGATTTTAATGAGGGAATTGTTCCTTATGAGGTATACATTATAACTATATACCTCATAAGGAACAATTCCCTCTTGATAGCTGGGAAACTTTCTCTGAATAACTTATCATTTGGAGAAAGTTTCCCAGCTATCTATTAGAAACTAAAGGCTGTGAGGCACTAATATATAATCAGTGCCTCATAGCCTTTAGTTTCTTATTAAAAACGAGAAAACTTGTTCGAAATGATAAACAATTTCGAACAAGTTTCTCGTTTTAAGGAGGGAATTGTTCCTTATGAGGTATACAGTATATATACCTCATAAGGAACAATTCCCTCTTGATAGCTGGGAAACTTTCTCTGAATAACTTATCATTTGGACAGAAAAGTGACACTTTACATGGCAAAAAATAGAGCCTTACTTTTGAGATACTTGAGATTGAAACTGAATCTTATGAGGCGGTGATCTTGAATCACTACCTCATAAGGTTCAGTTTCATATAAAATTTGTTGCAATTTGTTATTCTTTTGCAATTATTTCTTATAAGATTTTACATCTTTTAGCGGGGAATGTTTGTTATCATGTATATATTATAAATATCTACACGATAACGAACATTCCTCGCTAAATTGCTGAGAAACTTTGAGGAAATGTCGAACAATTTCCTCAAAGTTTCTCAGATTTATATAGATCACTAGAGTCCCCTAGGCACTGATTCTGGTTCAGTACCTAGGAGGCTCTAGTTCTCTAACGAACTGATAAAATGTTTTTAAATTTTTGGATATTGCTACCTGTGAAGCACTGACTTCAAGTCAGTACTCACAGGTAGCAATTACATTGAAAGATGGGAGAAACTTTGTCCGAATGTTAAACTATTCGGACAAAGTTTCTCACATTTGTAGTGGAGATGGAAGGCTTTGAGGTATATTGTATTAATATATACCCAAAGCCTTCCATCTCCACTTGAAAGTGTCCAAACTTTGGGTTAATACTTTGCAATTAACCCAAAGTTTGGACACTTTCTAGAAGGAATTGGAGGGTAAGAGATATACATTCATATGGTATATCTCTTACCCTCCAATTCCTTCTTAAAATGGGAGAAACTTTGTCCGAATGTTAAACTATTCGGACAAAGTTTCTCCCATTTTTTGAAGGAATTGGAGGCTATGAGATACTGATGCAATGTCAGTAACTCATGGCTTCCAATTCCTTCCTAAAACTCATAAAAGTGGACATTACATGCATATAAAATTTGACATGTAAAGTCCACTTTTTGTGAGCGGGGATTTGACTCCGTCAAATCCCTTTTTCGTTTACGAGAAAGCCAAATTCTCTCAAAAAGTTAAGTAGGACCAATTTTTTATAAAAAAAATCCAATTTCATTATGAATGTTAATTAATTTATATAATTATTGAATAAAAAATTTTCTTTGAGATTATGAAAAGTTCTTTGAAAAGTTATTTTTTCTCATTTTTAAATATTGTATTAGCCTATTTATTTATAATCCAAATTAAATAACTTTAAATTCAATATTTAAAGAATAATTTTGAAGGAATTGAGTTACTTCCCCCGACGATAAAATTGAGAGGTTTACATTTTGTCAGAAAATATATCAAAGATTAATATTTTACTAAAATTTTTGCAAAAGAAATCGAATATATCAATTCACATTTGACTTTTTTTAGACGTGCTAAAATATGCATATCATTGGTTATTTTGTAGCTTGTTTCAGTTGTATTTTATTAAAATTTTAACTAAGGCTGCATATCAAATAAATTTATAAATTACAATTATATGTCAACATCATATCCAACTACTTTAATTACTATGAGTGCTTAGACAGCATGTATGATAATGAAAATTGGCACAATATGTAAACAAATAAAAATAACTTATTTTTTTTCGTATTTTACAATGCGAACCAAAGGTCATTAATACTAAGAACAGTTTTATTCAAATTCATATTATACATACATAATATTTTTAAAATATTATATCATCCTTTTTCTAAACGCGCAATTGAAAGATCAATTAATAAAATTTGAATTACAATATGATTTTTAGAATTCAAGGTGTTCAATTACTGATGTTAAAACATCAAATTTTGAAATTCGCATAAAAATTAAAATCAAATGCTACTTGGGGAATAATCAGCAGTATAATATATAGTTTAGAAGAAGCAGCACATAATGAATGGGTTGTAATCACAGCCTTAATTTCATTAACCTCGCTATACATATTTATTTTGAATTCTCACAAAAAATTGCGAAAATATGACATATCAAGACAAGCTGAATGAATATAAAAAAAAAAAAAAAAAAAAAAAGGTAGTGGGGCTTCCAGGCACTTCGTGCCCTCTAGCCCCGAAGATGTTTAGTATAAATGAAGTTTTTATTCGGAAAATTGTTAGTCTTCTGGTGTGAATTCAGAGGACTCTTCTTCTTCCTCCATTGCTTCTGGGAAGAAGCCTTCTTCTGGGTCGAAAACATTATATAATGTGTCGCTTTTCACAAATTATATATGTTTTCATGTTTTGTCACTTTTCTGTCACTTTTCAGGGAAAAAACATTTTTATATATATATAAATGAATTTTACAAAACCACCGTTACCGTTCTTTGGAAATAAGAGTAAATGTAAAGATATTATATTGAGAGAACTTAAGAAACTACCGAATGGTCTAACATTTGTAGATTTGTTCGGTGGAAGTTTCTATATATCCCATTTGTGCCATACAATATTTCCTGACTCAAAGATTATATGCAATGACTTCGACAACTATATGGACCGTCTCAAACATATACCAGACACAAACAATATATTGAAAGAGTTAAAAGAAAAGATACCTATAGGTAAGATGGAACGTATACCATTAGATAAGAAAAATATTGTGAGAGAGGTTTTGAAAAAAGCAGAATATATAGACTGGGATAGTATATCTGCTAGACTATTATATAGTGGTGCTATAAGAGTTCATGACATTGAAACACTTATGTCAAAAGTTTTATATCTTAACTATACAAATGTTTTCAAAGAGGACATAGAAAAATATATTGAGGGTATAGAGTTTGTGAGATGTCATTGGACAGATTTGTATGAAAAATATAAAGACAAGGAAAATGTTTTCTTTATAGTGGACCCGCCGTTCTATAACACATGGGATTTTCAATACCAAGTAGACTGGACTTTGAGAGACTCTTTAGAAACTTTAGACGTTTTACATAACCATCCATGCTTTTACTTTACATCCGATAAAAGTGGTTTGGAAACCGTTATGAGATGGTTAGAGGACATACATGACTATGAGTTTATATATGACAAGATAGAATATGAGAGAGGTCCTATAAACTGGAGAAAGTGTCATAACAAAGAAATTTTATTAGTAAGTAAATGTGGTTTGAAATAGGACTACTTGTTTTAGGTTTTTTCCATTGTGTCATTTATTTATTTGACGTGGCAGAAAAGTACAGAGAATATGAAGATGAACCAATGCCTGCAAATGTTCAGCATATGTACTCGTAAGAGATATTTTTATCTAATATTAAATGGACGCACAGAACTTAGCGAATGCACAGCAACCTGGACAACCAAACCCAGAGAATATTCCAAATGAAGTTAGAATACAAACTGCAATGGCAAACTATGGTCAAGTGCCAACAGATGTACAAATGCAAACTGCCATGTCAAATGACGCTGCGTTAGGTTTGCCACCATGGTATGCAAATATGAGATGGAAAGAGTTTTATACAAACCCTGAAGTGGGATATAAACAACTTTATGCAGATGACGCGAACACAGGAGTTGACCCAGAATATGTTTTCTACCAGAGGAGAAACAGAATGTATGAGCTCCAGTTAAAGAATGCTATGGAACTCAACAGGAAACGTAAGAGACTAGGCGGACATTAGATTTTTACATATAGTAAAATGGGTTTCTTCAGTAGTATTGGAAACTTCTTCAGAAGAGTTGGAAGAGGTATATGGAATGGAATAAAATCTGTCGGAAGAGGAATTTGGAACGGAGTCAAAAATATTGGTAAAAGAGTAGGTCAGTTTGTTGGTATTATACCTAAAGACCCTGAACCAGAAGAGCAAGCTCCTGTTATACAACAGCCTGAACCTGCACCACAGTCTAGTTGGCAACCAAATCCAACACCTCAACCGTATTAAAAAATTATATTTTTACCGTTCGATAGTAGTTGTATATGAAACTAAGTTCTAAGTAAAACGCATGGTATAATGGAATTATTCTTTTTCTTCCATCTGTAGTAAACCATACTTGAAAGTCTGAAATACTTCCACTTGGTGGTTCGTATAACTTTGTAGGTTTTTCGTAAAAGTCATTTGCCAAGCATAAGAAAGAGTTTTGGGCGCCAGAAAATGAAGCATGAACAATAATAGCAGCTGGGTCGAAAACATCTTTAAATAAATATGGTTCATCTCTTGCATATCGACTGTAAATATTTGCTAAAGGAAGTTCGACTTTCTGATTTAACATTCTTTGCAAATAATACCATGACATTGCAGTGAATTCTGTATATATTTGTTCGTCTTTCTTTGGATTGTCTTCGTAGATTTGAAATGACACTTGTGAATTTTGTTTGTCATATACAATTCTCACATAAAGTGTGCTCTCGGTATTTGCATATTCATCAGCATATTTTGCATAACATGAATTTATTTTATCTTCTATATTTTTTAACGCAGTCTGTAGAGAAGATGAAAGGTCAACTTGTATTAGCTCAATTTCTTCCCACATTTTTCGTTTCCCTTCAGATATATAATCTATATGAAACCTTACAATAAATGGAAAACTTTTATCTTCTACAGACACAAACTTCATTCTACGAAAGCCAATAGCTTTTGTGACAGATGGGTCTCTTAACCATCTTAATGGGTAGTCAAAACGATAGCCTTCATGCTTTACGGTCTCTGTCTCAAACTTTTGACCGACATTAGTAAAAAGTTCATCTAATGGTTTAGTTGTAGCAACTCTTGAATTTTCTTTTTCTATTGGAAGCATATTTTATCTACAATAAAAATGTCGAAAGATATTGCTTCCATGAGAGAAATACAACACAACCGACAACTCATTGTGCAAGCTCTAAATAAGAACACAACAAACTTTTCAAACTATTCTAAGATATCTGAGTCATTGAAAGAAGGAAACTTAAAACTGACATTAAACCCAATGACAGATGAGTTTCTGTTTCAAGACAATAAGAACCATACTGTCTGTATAAATCCAACAAAAGGAACTTTAAACGAGAAACCTATAGATGAACTTCTTTTGAAGGCAGATATTGACAACAAAGCTGACAAAGAGTATGTAGATGCAACAAGAGACTATATTCTCGCATGGACAGATAGAACATACCCACAAAAACACCATACACATAACATCTATGACGTAGATGAACTACCAGCAATGTTAGATGACAAAGCGGATAAAACATATGTTGACAATAAAATGTCAAGTGAAGTGACAAGAGCTGACAAAGAATATTCTAAAAAGACTCATACACACGATTTCTTCGCAACTGTTGGTATAGAAAATATTGCAGGAACGGTTGAAGAACCTGATGGAACTGGTGGGGATGCATTGTATTGGAAACCTCCTAACTTTCCACAAGGTTTAACATCGGAGGATGACATAACGACGATGAAATACACTAGATGTAGAAATGTCTATGTCATGGAGGATGAAAACAAAGTTAAATTCACTGCTCAAGATTTATATGACAACAAAGCTGACAAAACATATGTTAACGATGAGTTAGATAAAAAAGCTGACAAAACATATGTTAACGATGAGTTAGATAAAAAAGCTGACAAAACAGAGCTTCAAACGTTAAAGACAGAAATGCTTCAAACATTATATCCTATAGGCTCTATTTATACGTCAATGAACTCTACCAGACCAGAAACAGTTCTGGGTTTTGGAACTTGGACTCAAATAGTTGACAGGTTTTTGTATTGTGCAAACTCTTCAAAGGAAACAGGAGGAAGTAAAACGATTTCAGGTGAAAATTTACCTGCGCACAGTCACTACATAGATTTAAGTACATCTCAAGCAGGTTGGCATAAGCATAAATTTTGGGATTGGTCAGCAATGAAAAAAGGTAAAGGATATGATGTTAAAGACGACGTTCAGTTTGCTATAAATTGTTTCTGGGGTGACACTCAGGGAGATGGAAACCATACACATCGCGTTTCGGGATATACGCAAACAACGGGACAAAGTAAAGACTACATGCCACCTTACATGACAGTTTACGCATGGTATAGAAATGCTTAGTCGTCATTTTCAACTTCTTTAGCATATTCGTCAGGAGTTGTCTTATATTTGTTAGGAACTGTCTTTGAAAGTATACCACCTTGAACTTTGACAAGTTTGAAACGAGGTCTGACAATAGTCGTTTTATCTTCTGCTTGCAGTCTGTACATTTTGCCATGTTTGCCTAAAACTTCATAATATTCTCTTGTATACTTTCTTCTATTTTTACGAACACGAATGCGAGTACCTGTCGAGTTCCCATTGTTGTCATAGTCAATAGTATTTTCATATGGGTCGCGTTTAGGTATTTCTATTTTTACTTTGTCACCTTTCTGAAGTTTGAAGCCCGGCATTCTTTCTTGTTTGTCTCTTTTGACTAAATTGTTAAATATATAGTCTTTCTCTAAGTCAGGGTTGTTTTTCATTTCTTCGGGGGAGTGGTTTCCCAAACCTTTTTGTTTACGGCTATTGTAAATATTTAAAACTTGTCTCATCTTTGCCATGGAGAAGTGTCTATATTTGTCGTCATATGACATTTCATTTGCTTCACCACCTTGTGGTTGGTTTAAGTCTCTTAACATTTTTATACAACCGTCAATGACACCAAGAGCAGAATGGTTTTGGTCGACAATGAAATATTGGTTTACATTTTTTGAACGCAGATAGTTTTTTACATCATCTGATTTGAAAGAACTTTCACAGTCAGATGTCAGTTTTGTTGGATGGTATTTGTCAACGAATATTGTCAAAGCTGCTAAGATATCTAAAATATTTTTGGACTGTAATGGTATGGCTTCACAGTATCTTGTGTTTTGACCGATAAATATTAGCCAGTATGGTGGTCCATCTTCTCTATACCTCGGAATGTTTTCCAAGATATCCATAAACCAAGCATTTGGTGTTGAACTAAAGATTTTTATCATGAGTGCTTTTTTTGTCGCTTTAGAAACATAGGGGTCCTTGTTCGGATTCGTCATTTTTTACCCTATAAGAAATGGGTTTATTTGGCGCATTAGCAGGAGTTGCATCCAGATTTTTACCCGCAGTGGGAACAATAGCCAGAGGTGCATTTGGAATTGGAAGGAAGATTTTGAGTACATTAGGTATACTGAAAGAGAAAGCACAACCTATTATACAAACTGTACAGAAAGGTTGGGATGTAGCACGAGATGCAGCAAATCTTATTCCAAATCCTGAAACAAGAGGAAAAGTTCAAGGATGGATGGACAATGTAGGAAGACAAGCAGGAAACTATTATAACAAAGCAAATGACTACTATAACCAAGCAGGACACTATATGGACCAAGGTGAAAGATTCTTTAACAGAGGATATAACCATGCACAACAGTGGGTAAACAATAACCAACCTCAACCGCCTCAAACGTGGGGAATGTAAAATTTTTTACCGAGATGAAATGAACAATACAGCATTGAGACAAATGGGTTCAAGATGGATTTGTCGACTTCCAGCAGTTACACCACGTGTTTGTCAAGTTCTTCCTATACCTCAGGAAGTTTTAGACCGACTTAAAAAACCTAAACAACCAGTTGAAAACAAACCAAACTAAAATTTTTTACTGAGATGAAATGACCGAAGAAGTTGAAACGGTAGATTTGACACCACAAACAAAAAGTTCAGAACCATTGTCAAAACCTGTCAAAGAACTTACAGATGAAGAGAAAAATTCAATAATAGAAAGTGCCAGGTCTGGAAATACAAACCCTAACTACAAAGTCACTTTTCATAGAAATGGAACGGCTAGTATCTCAAAAAAGAAACAGACTCTCACAAATAAAATATTGAAGTCTGAAGGAGCTTTCGAGACAACAGATGGAAAAGTTTACTTCACTGACCAACAGTTCATTATAGAACATCTCATTGACTTAGAGTCGAAATATTCTAAACTTTACAACAAACACAAAAAGT